GCACCCTGCGCGGCCACACCCAGGGTCCCGGGCCGCAGCGCCCGCTCGGGCGGGACTGGCCGCCGACGCTGGGGACACTGAGGCCGCACCGCCGCGCATCCTGGGGGCTGGCTCGGCCGGAGATCCCCGGCGCCGCACAGACACAGCGCGCCCGGCCCGGACACGAGGCGGGGAGGGAAGGGCAACGCCGCGTTCGGGACCGGCACTCGGGATCCGGGACAGGGGCGCCTCCTCCACCCCACCCATCACTGCCACCCGCTCTGCGGCACAAAAGGTTGCACCCGGAGCCGCAGTCCCCGCGCAACCTACCAGTGGCTCAGCGCTCCACCGCCTCCTTCGGTCCCGGGGCGAGGACCCCAGACAAGGGCGGAGAGGCGCCGGGCTGCGGCGCCGAGATGCGGGCAGAGGCCGCCGACCGAGCCCGCGGGTACCCGCTCCTCTCCCACCGCGCGCGGCGCCAGCTACCGCCCGGCGTAGTCCCGCCTCCTCCGCCTCCTCCGCCTCCGCCCAGCCGTCCGCCTTCCCGCCTCCTCCCTCGCTGCAGAGGCGCAGCCCGTCAGCGCTGAGCCCGCCTCCCGCGCCCGGCTCCCGCCCCGAGAGGAAGGGCGGGCAGCCTGGCAGGCGGGCGGGCGGAGCACACGGCTGGGAAGCGGAGAAGTTGGCAGGGCCGAGGGGCTGCGGAGGACGGCGGGGAGGAGGGTAAACATCCCCACCACCACCACCACCAGCCCAGACCATAGCTCAATCCTGCAAGCCTGGCAGGCGCAGGCTCCCAGCTGAGCGGTGTGCTCCAGTGTGTATTTGCCAGTCTGTGCCTGAAGGCACTGAGCAGGCATAGAGAAGACTGGAGTCTGCCCAAGAATTTCAAACTGTGGAGTCAGTCTTACTAAATATGCAGTGAAGGTGTGCGAGAGGTGAAGTTCACATTCGCATCTTGATTGGGTTAGCTAGTTTTGAATCTGTAGGCTTGAGCTTTTCCATTCTTGCAAGACCTTTTCTTTGATCCTTTGCAGTCTTGTAAGAAATTGTTTCTTTCATCAAGACCTCCCCCCCATTTATATACATCTCTACCAACCTGACTGAGTTCTTGGATTAGCTGTTTACTGATACTAATTCAGATTTTACTATGTGAAGGGACTTTCTGTATAATTTCCAAATTTATCTCTCAACAATTTGATCCATGTTTTTTAAATGTGGAAAATGTAAGTAAGTCAAGGTCACATACCTAGTAATTAATTGGCAGAGGTTGCTGTAAATACACAGAGAACCCTAGCGTTTATGAATGTAAATTTAGCAATCTCAAACAGTTCGTTGTTTTGTTTTGATTTTTAATACTTTATCTAAACATAAAAAGTATAAATGCGCTGTATAGCACCATAAATTTAAACAATTCTTGATTCACATTTGGTACGTCCTTGATAATACAAAGGTCAATAAATATAACCCACCCCCACCTCAACAGACGATCGCTCTCAGTTGTCCACTCGAGAACCTTTTATTCCACTGTTTTTGCACCTGTAAGTGTGTAGGGGAGAGGAGTGGGAAAAGGAAGTTTTCTTGAATATTTTCCAAGCAATTTTGAACACTAGTTACATTTTTTCCAACATAGATATTCTTAGAACTTATGAAATAAGGAACCCACATATCTTGAATAAGTGAATGGGCTTTTCCCTTCCTTGGGTCTTTTTGTTCTTATCAGTACTTTGGGATAGCACACAGTTATTTCAGATTTGGATCTGTCTGACACAGTAGTGTATTGTTCTGATGATCATTCTCACCAGGCCACCTGGAAACCATTGTATATTTTATTTTCAGAAAGTGAGTATCATTTTGTCCTTCTGAAACTTTACAATCTTTTAGAAGAATGCCTTGTGCTTGCCCTTTGTTCTGGAAGTTTGGCAGTGATCTTCGGCCAAAAGCAATAAAGTCCTGACTTGCCACTTGGTTCATCGAGCTCAAGGCTGTGCTCTGGAGAAACTGTTGTTTCCAAATGGGCTCCCCTTCCAGGAGGTGCTGCGTGCTTCCCCCTCCCAACTCTTCACCCAATCAAAGCATGAGTCCGTTCTTGAGCGTCCCGAAGAAGACCCAATATACCACTCCACCAAGCGGTAATGGCTGCTAAGAGCTTTACGTGTGGCCCAGTCAGGGAGCATGTATGCCACCTAAAGGCTCAGACTGGGTACTGTCTTAATCATACCGGGTGTGGGCTGCAAGCTCTGTGGGTGCAGGGGATTTGAGAGGTGGAAATAGTGTCAAAGTCCTTCCCAGAGTGTTTTTGTGTTCTGTGACAATCTATTTTCCCTCTCTCTCTATATATATATTAAAAAAATGACACACTTTAAAAGAATTAGTCACAAAGGTAGGATTGAACTTGTGAGCTGAAAAGCCTTCTGAACCTGGGAATTCTGATCTTGCATGTCAAATGCGTCTTATGTGGTTTTTATCTTTGTCTCCATATATCCTTTCAAAAAAAAATCACTTTAAAATGTTAGTGGTCTAGGAAGGATTGCATATTGACGTAAATATTGTCACCTACATATTGACATAAATATTGTTCTTCAGAGAACAAGACAGGTGAACTTGATAACCTGCTACTGCAAAACAGAGACTGCCAAGGTAGGTGTGCAACAAACACTTCGTTGCCTCTTCTAGAAACCACCTTATTTCATGGTCTAACCAGGCAAATAGAGACTGTTTAAGACATACACAAATGGAACGTTGAATGCAGAGAATTGGTAACACAGAGGTTTAAAAAAAAAAAAAAAACCCTCAGAAGTTAAATAGGACATAGTGAGGTAACCCGGAAAGCTGCCACCTCACTTCCCATCTGGGAAATAAGTGAGGTGGGAAGGCAGGTTGCAGGGTGCCGGAGCTGGGGGCCAGGACGAAGGGCCACAAGGTAGACACAGCCACTGCCAAAGCATCTGGGGAAAGCTGGGTGAGTACCACAGGCTCTCCTCCTCTCCTCCCCGCTAGCCGTCTGTCAGTGTTTACCATTGGCCAACCCTCGCGCTGCTGCTCAGAAAGCCAGGGAAGGAAGGTGCAAAGGTCAGTGGGTCCTGGAGACACAGAGAGGAGCCTTCAATTATGACTGTGCTCAGAGCCAGCAAATCATTGCCTTTCACTTTTGAAGTATCTTTCCTAAGGTTTGGCCCCATTCTTTGAGTTGGGTCAAAGTTCCAAGAGCCTATGCTATATTCCCTTCCGTGAAGGACTGTGGTGATAGGGAGTAGAGAAGTCCTGGAGTATTTATTTACTTATTTAGTACAGGTCTCATTATGCAGCTCAGACTTGTAGTGATCCTCCTGTCTCAGTCTCCACCCTGCCTGGTTTTGTTGGCAGGCACACGCAGTACCGGGGATCAAACCCAGGTTCTTGTGCTTGCCAGGCAGGTGCTAAGACAACTAAGCAATCTCTCCAGCTAGTCCTGGGTTTCTAGTCATCTGTCCATCAGAGATTTCCTTTGTGCTTTCCCAGAGCTGCCACCTGTGACTACGTGCTGTAGCTCACCACCTATCTGTTAATGAGATGGCCCTACCATACTGATTTGGACACTACTTTTAGTTCTTTCCTGTTCCAACTCTGCTATTTGAGTCTGGAGAAAATCCAGTGTCTGGAACATCCTGCTAAGCCTCACCCATCCTCAGCAGTTCATATTTACAGTCTCCCTGCACATGCTTGGCTCTTCTTTCCTGATAAGAGGGCAGTTCTCCTTAGGGCTAGTCTTCTTCTTCCTTTTGTCTTTTCAGCAAAAATCTTCTTTGGGCAGCTCTCTGCCTCCTTTCTGGGGGTAGAGTTTTGGCAATAAGGAAAAAAAATCTCCTTTATTCCCTGCTGCATATTTCTCTTGAGGCAACAAAAGGAGTGCAAAATGAAAATAAAAATTATAAATGAATGTCTCAAAATATTATCCAAACATAGAGAGAAGAGACAGTGGGTAGGCTGAGCCAGAATGAGGAGGAGGAGGTGGAGGCGGAAGACAGAGGGAGCTCACTTTGTCGTATGATGGATTTTTGTTGCTGCACTATGTCCATGTGGAGGTATTAACCAGAATATTGGAAATATTAAGTGGGGGGCTCAGGAAAGAGGCCCGGGGCACCCTTCAGCTGCCACTAGACCATGTATAATTCCACACTTACA